AAAAACGGTTCACGTAAAGATTGAACTTCAGCCTTGAAAATCGTCTCACTCCTTAGAATGAATGAAAACATGGGTGTGTGGGTATATGGCAAAGGGAAATTTGATGCAAAAAATTAAGATTCTTCTACAATTTATTTATATTGTTTATCAGCCAAATTTAGAAACCAATCAGTGCAACCGTAAAACAAGAAGGAAAAATCTCTTTGAATTTTGCCTGGATAGTAGACTGAAACCTTAATTTGAGCCTGTAATCTGTTCAAAACCAATATTCTCTGTCTCAAGATTCTGTCTATAATGCAAAGAGGGATGTTGAAAATCTGCTGTGCATAACAATCTATCGGAATACAATGATTGCAGACCAGAGGAAGCTAATTTTGGCTTTTAATGAGCCTGGCCCTCGATCAACATTTTCACATTAAGTCAAAAGCTTATTATAAATTGGATGCCTTTTACATATTTAATGACTTAATTTATAAAATTTCTGGGAAGATAATAGTTTAATAAGCAATATCTTAAAATACGTTTAAGACTAATTCTTCTTTCTTGATCTTACGGCCTTAGATTAATTGATTAGCATCTTCTATTTACATATTTTACTTAAGAGTTGGTTTTATTCTAACTACGTCAACAAACGAAATGTATACTTTGAAGTATCAGAAAACAAGGCTTAGCCGAGACTATCAATAAAAAGGTTATTACGTGTATCGTCAAGTGAACCCGATGAATTTTTGGAGAAATTTCATCTGCCATACGACAGGCATTGCCAGGACGTGAAACCATGCTTTGCAGCAATTCACCAAGCCTAAGACAAAGCTATCTATCTTGATGCATTTTCAGAGAGCAGGGTTTCACGTTCCGACGTAAGCTCAGCATGGATTCATCAGGTTCACTGGACAGTGTACTGAGCATTCCAACTCAAAACAATCTTGCTTAGGCTGCCGCTACAAACAAAATTAAAAGTAGACTAATATTTATTTAATTGTGGATTCTTCCTAACCCAGCTTTCTTTTATACCCCCAAAGAACTTATGAGTAGTAAAATTGTCTAGATTCTTTCTTGTGCTCGTTGGACTTGTCTTTTTCTTGGCTTACTTGACAACCATGCCTGAGATATAGGCTATTTATCCATTCGAGAAATCTTCACGATATGTTTAACGTTTTATCTAGAAAGCGTACTTAACATGAAAGTAATGCTAATGAAAGAAACTGGAAATTGGAAAAACTTTTCTTCGGTAACTTATAGTCTCATTATTATTCTTAAATATGCATTACATTTTTTCACTATCTGTCTAGAGCACACTGGTTACTTCTTACCCTCTAAATCTTTCCTTACCCATTAATGAGACTGTTACGAAGAAAGAAATTGCGTAGTTATTGTGAAAAAAAGAATAAGCATTCAGTCCTCGTTACCCATCAACTGGACAGTAATATTTTTAATTTTAGAATGATTTAATTAATACTCCGGAATAAAGTTGGCTCACTTGGGCGGATCTAAACGTGGGTTCTCGTTCGGATCATCACGACCTCTGCCAGCAGGGCGCTGAATCGCTTCCTCTTTCGTGAGAAGCTCCAGTTCGAGTTCCACCTTGCCCTGATGTGAGGGAATTAATGAAAAAGCAATAAAAGACGTCAGAAATTTAGACGATATTGAAAGTATCCCGTATAAACTTGTAAAGATACTCTCAATACTATTCGTATAGACCTATTGCACTTTACTACTAAGAATTAGGTCATTTCTCCGACCATAGTTACAGATGGCTAAATTTGATCTGCTGTATAATTCCATGAACTGCCATCTTCATACATTTAAAAATTTCTTACGAAACTGGATTTTTTAGGCTATTTTCTCCTTTAACTAAATTAAGAGCCAAATAATGTTGGTTCATTATATATTTATTCATTACAGCTTTTTAGAAAATTCCTGAAAATTTATTCCTATATGTCCCTTTTTTAGATAGAAAGCTCAAGATATTGTGGCCACTTTTTGATCGCAGATTGCTTTTAAAGTATAAAAGTTGTCAGACCTCGTTTTCGCAACTTGGTTGTATTGTAAGTACCTCCTGGTTGGACGCAAATCGTCCGAAGTCATCTGCCATAGTAGTTATGTTAATTCTCAGCGTTTAAATATGGACTTGGTACATTCCCAGACGTTCCACTAGCATCGTCAATGAGTCCTGCCATTCTCAGCACCAATCTAGAACTCGTTGAAAAGGCAAGTAAAGCCCCTCGACCAACTTTATGTCGAACGGTTGTGTTATCCCTCCTCCTTCTGCCCTGGTACACCTACCACCTTCCTATCCCCATATCTCAGTCCCACCCTATCACTTCTATTCCTCTAGAAGTTGTTCCTTTTTGGTGAGTTTACCGGGGCATTATCACACCGGTTTGTTTACCTTTACCCCCTCAATCCAGAACTTCTATATAAATATCCCGAATCGCCCCGGAGATTCGTTTCTTATCTTACTGGTTGACTTATTCATAAATACAAAAGTACATAAACTCATAAAGCCTACATACAAGTGCATAAACCTGTCCTTCATCACCTTAAACGAAATAGGATGAATACATCTCGTATAACTGATTTACTGAAAGTCTCGAAACTCTGCTTATACGCGAAAGATAAATAAACTCAAGCATAGGCATTTAAGCCCATATATGAGGAAATGCATAGACATATACAGACGTAGCCACAACCAGACGTCAAAACATTAACTACACATCGGATTTACAGTTAACACTGGCGTGCCCGACTCATCATTACTGCACGGCCAGAAGCCGTATGCTCGGCGGCAATCAAAAATATTCATCAGTTTTTTCGTGTTTCCTGAGCTACGCATCATCTCCAAGTTGCAATTCTTCGATTTTTTTGCAGGAGAAGGCATTCCCGAAAGATTCAACTCAACGGTGCCCAGAAAGTCGTCTGGAGAGAAGCTATCATTGTCCCAGATTTGGATGATTAAGGAGGGAGGAATCCGTTGCTCTGTTTCGTCTAGAGACCAGAAGTGTTCCTTCTTTCGGATGACGACCATATTTTCCGCAGGCAAGAATAGAAATGGGAAGACGAAGCGCCAATTGAAGTTCCCTTCGCCATCCAATGATCGGTAGTGAACATCAGTTTCCTGATGATCATCGATGCCTGAAAGCCAGCCCTAGTAAATGAACAAAGTTGTAGAAAAAATTAAAACATTTGACAGAGCGATTGTATTGGGAATCAAAGGGAACAGGTTTAGTGATAGTCATCTAATGAGAATCTACAGAGTTATAATAGTCAATTTATTCATGCTCACTTTTCTACCAATGCCTCTTATGCCTGCTTCTTAATGCTGCAATTGACTAAAAAGAATTCCACCAAGTTTTTATTCCCCTGACGCCTAAATGATCTTAATAAGAGTAGTTCTTCCTAGTCGTATCCAGCATTTTCCCTTTATAATCTCCATCTTTCCATTTACTCATTAGGAGCTGCCGTTTAATTTTGAGACTATCGGTAATTTGTGAATAAGAACTCAATCACTAAGTCGCTTAAGGCAGTGATTTCCAAACCATGCGCCGCGAAATATTGTAATAGCTTCAATTTGAGAAAATGTGCAGTGATTTGCAGGCTCATCCATCACATTATTTATTGAATATTCATTAAATGTT